ATATATATATTATATATATAAATATATAGGACATTTTTATATATATATGATAGTCCAGAACAATAGATTAGGTTATAATTTTTCATATAGGAACAACAAAACAATTTCATCAAAACCTCCAACAATGATGCAACTTTGTGTTTGCATTGATCCTAGATCATTCACAGTAAATTTACAACCTGGTCTTACATTTCATCACTTGCAGATGAAAACCAAAATAAAAATGGTATAAAACAAAAAATTCCGTTCTAAATGAAGCCATTATATATATATATGGGATATATATCCATTTCTTATATTTGTTTGAGAAAAAAAATATTAATTTTAATGTTCACAGCATTACTTCAAAAGGGACATACTGATAGTAGGATAGAAAGGAAAGACTTCGACTGGGAAAACCAAAAGGCAAAAGCCACACATGGGACATCATATTTCTTCTATTTGTTTGAAAAAAAAAATTTTAAATTTTAGGGACATATGATATCAGTTTGATGCTTGTTGATATCAGTTTATGAAGGATTATATATATATATATATATATATATATATATATATATATATTAAATTTTAAATTCCCAGCATCCCTCATTTGTGTGCATGTGTAGTTGTACCAATGTAACAAATTTAGTCTTAAAGGATGAAATGTGTCAAACAAAAATTTTTTTCTCACTTTGTCATACATTTTTTTCCAATACCCTAATATATAATAATATGGTGGAGCTATATAGTCTTTAAATGTGTACACAAAATAAACATCTGGAAAATATAATGAAAATACTTTTAATACAATCTAATTATTTATTATGGAGTTACTTTGGTAATTTTCATTCTTATCCTAAAGTGTTTACAATTTTTCAAGAAAGGAATTTGACAAAAATATTTTCTGGGGAAAAAAAAAACTTTCATTAACTTAGAGGATGATTAGAAAGAGTCCATATCAATTCTGTATCTACAGATAAAGTGATCAGTGAAAAGAAAATACATTTCTTTTCCACGGGGTTCTTTTGGAAGTAGAGAACCAATTTAAGACTTCTTTGCTTCCATGACTCAAAGAACAAATTCTCTCCGTTCATGCAAAAGTCATTGTCAAGTTCTATATCATCTGGATTTCAATTTGGCAGTTTGATTAAATTTCTTGTATAATTTCTATTTCCTCTTTGAAATTTAATCTAATCTAATCTAATCTTCCCATAGATTCTCATCAGAGTTCATAAATTTAAATAGATATAAATATAGCTTCTGCACTGCGGTCATTTTCGTCAACATGCCAAACAGTTGCAGAAACCAATTCTTTTCTTGATATCAATTAGATTAGAAATGTCTGGGTATAAATTACTTTTTACTTTATGAAAAGAAATAACATCATAGATTCAGACCCACCACCATCTGAGGTTATAAAGCCCATTGTCCCCCACTGTTTAATCCACAGGGAACATAACAGATGAGGTTCATGCCTTTTTGGTGCTACTATGTCTTTTTTTGCTTAAAATAATTTTATAGATTCTGTGTTGATTTGTTTTTTTTGCTGGAAATAATTCTGTAGATTTTATGCTAATATGTCTTTTTTGCTAAAAATAATTTTATAGATTTTGTGCTAATTTGTCATTAATGAAAATAAATTTATAGATTCTGTACTAATTTGTAATGTGTCTTAAAATAGTTTTACAGATTCTATGATACTATGCCCCCCTTTGCTTAAAATAATTTTATAGATTCTGTGCTAATATGTCCTCTTTGCTTAAAATAATTTTATAGATTTTATGCTGTTTTCTTTGCTTAAAATAATTTTATAGATTCTATGCTAATGTTTTTTTTTTACTTAAATTACTTTTATAGATTCTGTGTTAATTTGTCTCCTTCATAATGTCTTCACCATAATGTGTCTGATCATAATTTTAATTAAAAAAATGCTGCTTTAATTAAAGGAAAAATCAATTTACAAAGGTAAAAATGTATAAAAAGTGCTTTAACTGCAAGATTTATCAACAGTAAATTTTCATCCTGGTTCTTACATTTTTCCTTTCTTGACTGATCTTCACAATGTGGGATATTTAATAATAAAAATAGAAACAAAAACATAAAGAAACTAAATGAATTTGACGAGACTATATAAACAGACACATCTCTCTCTCTCTCTCTCTCTCTCTCTCTATATATATATATATATATATATATATATATATATATATATATATGAAATTTTTAATTTAAAAGTTACAAATTTCAATATTCCAACATTTTCAGCACTTCCTACCTATGCACATATTATAACCAATGTTTGCATTTTTATGCCCCCCCCTCTCCTTCATATGCATAATCACTCCCTCTTTCATATACATCATCCCTTCCTTCACATAAATATATACATCATCCCTTCCTTCACATAAATATATATATCATCCCTTCCTTCACATAAATATATACATCACCCCTTCCTTCATATAAATATATAATTACATCAAAGAAAACATTACTTTAGTCCAATGAACTCCTAAAGGGCAAATCATGTGACACACAAAAAAAATTTCCACTTTATATGTGAATAAAGACAAAAGGAAAACTTATCTTAGCTGAAACATTTCATTCTCTGAGGGACTTTATCAAGGAAATGTAAGGATTTTGCTTTTGTGGCAAGTCTTTATATACAAGAGCAAAAATGTTATTGGTTTTTGAAAATTTTTGGTATGGAGCTGCTCATGAATATTCATCAGGTTAGAGGAAATGTCAGGCAAGTTCAAAAAAATAAAACATACCTCCTACTCACTTTCATTTATTAGGCATTGAACACATCTGTGAATTTGCCTGACTTTTCCACACACTTTTTAGAAGAACCGAATACACAGAACTGGTCTGCATGATGTGTTACATTGTCCCCAAACAACCCACCCTCTGGTTTGGAAAACCTAAACTAGTTGCCAACCAAGGATAATGAACCCAGTTTGCTGTATTATTTAATCCATAACTAGCAGGAAATGTCTAGTGAACGAGATAATCAAGTACCCCGGAAAAAAGTTTGTGTTTTGTGTGCGATCTGCGGGTAGGGATTGCCAAAAAGTAGTCAGCAAAACTCTTATAGCGACTTACCTCGTCAACCCAAGCGACAGCGCGTCGCGTGTATTCTGGGACGAAAAAGAAACAAGTCCGTCCAGAGGAGTTGCTATAAGAGTATATTAATATGCAAATTACGGAGCATCCTATCCCGGCTGTTGTTTAATGGAAAAAATAGGTTCTGCCGATAAAAGCAGTTGGTGTTGTTGACTCGGAAGGAAAATTCGGGCAGTTTTGGCTACGGCGTTCGTGAGTTATTTTCCTGGCCGTTACAAGTGATTTTCTTTCTTTGTGTTGTGAAAGCCACAAATTTGCTTTGAGAACGCTTACACTTCAAAATGAAACAGATTTGTACCCTTTCTCAAGGGTAAAAATCTGTGCATGTGAATTCAAATGAAATTTGAACTCTGATCTCTAACTTCTTATTCCAAGCTGCTATCCACTACACTACACACTTATAATCTTAGGTGGGAGGGGAATCTGCATGCAGAAGCCACACTGAATCTCCTCCAAAACGGTCTATCAACAACAGCCATCAGCAATTCTGGTATAGTCATACCTGTCCATTATTTGACATTTTTTTTAAGCGTGAAGCCACTAGGATGCAGGGGGTTGTGGAAGATTTGGAGCAAGAGCAGATAGGAGTGATAGAAGAAAGGATGAGGAGAAGGATAGTGGGTAGATCAAAGTAACTGGAGATGTCGATTGACATTACATTTGAATAGTTGGAGAATATAGCTTTCAGGGAAACAGTAATTGGGGAGGGTGTTCCACTGGCGAGAGGTGTGAGGTATGAAGCTATTGGAGTAGAAGAGATGGCTACATTTGAAAGTTTCTACGGTGTAAGGTTGGGAGCAGGATGCCAGCCTCGTAGGGCGCTTGAATTCATGGAGTCTGGGAACCAGTGAAAGCAGCTCATTAGAGCAATTACCATGAAAGTATTTGTAGAAAAAACAGAGAGAGGTGACGGCGCATCTGTGAGAGAGTGACTGCAGACGGGACGCTAGATCAGGGCCAATTAGATTACATATCTGTCTCTGGATCTTGTCAAGAACTCTGAGGTAAGCAGAAGGTGCTCCAGCCCACATATGACAGCAATACTCAATGCAAGGGCGAATGGTTGTTTTGTATATTTGAAGTATCGATTCAGGGGAGAAAAATTTCCTGGCGTGGCACAGAGAGCCAACTTTCCTCGCGACAACCTGTTTTTACGTTGGCATCTTCACCTACATCCACTTTCAACAGTGCTTTGCATGATGGTCTTGTACAGGTTGTCCTGCCTTGTAACATATCCAAACAAGAGCTTAGAGAGGAGTTGGGCGATGCCAAGTTATTTAAAAGCCCTCTGAGAGGATTATGAAGAAATATCTATTGCAGTGATTTTCCAAGCGTAACTTAGATGTGGCACAAGGCCAAAAGTAGGGAGCACTCACTGAGGATCAAATTCACTACACAGTTGTAATTGTTCTAGCAAGACAAGCTTGCTAACCATTACACTGCCTCATGGAGCCAAAGAAAGAAATATATATATATATATATATATATATATAGAATTATTCACACAAAAAAACAAATGCAAAGGTTAATGATTTAATTGGCGAGAAATCCATCGTCGCAAACAATTCAAATAATATACAAAAACAGACGAAAGCTTGTAGTAGAAATAAGAACTAATACGGCAGAAATTTATAGAAACAAGGATCATTTCATTCATAACGGATTCGGAGGTTTTGTATATTATTTGAATTGTTTTGACGATGGATTTCTCGCCAATTAAATCATTAACCTTTGCATTTGTTTTTGTGTGAATAATTCATGAATTTGTAAATTGATTGCACGTTTATTGTAATTAATATATATATATATATATACACACACACACACTTTGAACAAAATATTCATTATTTTTTTTTTTTTTTGCTGACTTGTTTCTTTTGTCTGATATTTTGCAGGTTAACCGCATCCCTAGGATACTATGGAATGTCACTGAAATTTCCAACCTTATGGGAAACAAATACCTGAACCTTTTCCTTGGAGGTTTCTTGAGTTTGTAGTTTACTTAATATTGTTTTTCTCTATTACACGGTATGTACTACATTTTTAGTTTGAATTATACTTGGTTAATTATCTTTTATTTAATAAAGACATACAGTATTTGTAGGACAAGGCCAAACAGAGAAAGGTTGGTCATCCGTAGCTATCCTACTCTTAGCTAGTTTGATTCATAACCCATCCATTCTAACAATTTACACAAGAACTCATTCTTCGCCATTCTGTTTGAACATGCACCAAGATACTGCGTTTTCGGGGTTTCTTTGTCTACTCATTATGAATCATTTAATGCCAAAATTTAATTTTCTTCACAGCATTAGTAATTTCACTATTTACATCAGTGCTTTTCAACCTTTTTGCTGGAGTGGAACCCCATGGAAACATTCCACTGGCTCGAGGAACCCCTGTGCAATAATTTGGTTGTCTTATGCAAAAAACAGCATTTAATTAATTATACAAAAAATGCAATTTGTAATAAAATGAAAATATTCATGTTCAGAGTATTGTAAATGAAATGAAAACAAAAGTGTACATGTTTGAATAGATTACATTTATTCTTATGAAAAAAGTCAATGGGAAACTTGAGCCTGGTGTTTCTTGCACAACTCTTTAAGATTGGGTCGTGTTTTTGACAGACACACACGAAGTTCATCTTCCACAGACCGCAATTGAGCTCGTTTCTTGTGCTTGATGGTTGTCAGAGCTGAAATTACTCTCATCAACTTGAAGTGCAAAAAAGTTATGTTTCAGTATTTCTGATTTAAGATTGCATTCAATGTCTCCTGACATGTCTTGAATGCGCCTACTTATTGTGTTGTCAGAAAGTGGAATTTCATTTACTTGATACAGCATCCTCTCCAAACATTATCCTCACTATTTCTTGGCATGCAGGTAAAATTACAGTTTCAGCGATGGTATGAGATTTCATTTTTCTTGCAACTATCTCCGCCACAGCATAACTTGCTTCTTGTGCTTTGTCACTCAACTTGAACTTTTTGGCAAACATAGAAACCTGCCTTTTATTACATTTCATTTGTCGTTGAAAATATTGTTCATCTTTGCTCGACAACTCTGGATGTTTAGTTACTAAATGTCGTTTCAGTTTGGCTGGTGCCATAGCACTGTTAGCCAGCTTCTCCCACAAATAATACACAAAGGTGAAGGGCACTCTGGGTTTCCAGTCCAAGTAAATCCCAGAGCTATGTAGTTTTCACAATATTGACGAACTTTTAGTTGTAGGTTAATTCCACCATTTCTTGATTTTGATGAGGCAGCATTGCTGGTAGTAGTTTCGGCTTCAAAAGAGTGCCTCAGATCCTGTGTCTCTTCATCCGCATCTGTCTTATGTTTTTTCACAAATCTATCCATGGTTGTAAAATCTGTAAAAGAGTTTGATGATTTGGAAATTGAAAAATAACAACAGTTAATCGGCCGTCTGACAGTTTGTGGGTTAATAAAATAGATTTTCGAATTTGAATTTAACATGTTGTTTATTTGTTCGTGTTCTAATTTAGAAATTGCGGAACCCCTGGACCGTACTGGCGGAACCCTGGTTGAAAACCACTGATTTACATTATTCAGACTATTGTCTTCATCTTTGTCACCATATTTATTACAACGTTTCAGTCATCGTACGCTCCAGACTTCTTCAGGTGGTTGGAATGTCAAACTGAACCCTTTATTTCACTCACTGGGATAGACCGTTCTAGTTCCACATACCATGCCTAATGGATGTCAGTGATCAGTTATCTCCTGTTACTAACCCTCTCCAAGTTCTCCACCGCCTTAACCAGGTATTGAACTCACACTCTTTGGGTCCTGTCATCCTGGATCTAACTAACTAATACCCAGAAATTCATACACAGATGTCCTCAAGGACACATGGCACAGTGGATAAAGGCATTAGTTAGATCCAGTGCCTTTGTATTGCTCTTTCTGATAAGATTCTAAACATAAATATCATGTTCTTTGTTAGAGAAATGGTTAAGACATCATGTTATGAAAATAGATATAAGAAAATATATACAAATTTGTGATTGACTTAGCTGACTATTCCGTTTCCAAATTAAACATAAAATGATAAATACAGGCAATTAATGGATTTTCAAATCTGATATTATTTCTTACTATAAAGTGGGATTGCAGGTTCAAGGGGTACATTTTTTTAATGAAATTTTTTTTATATATAGGCTTGTAGACATTAATTTCACAGCTTGTTAAAAAAAAACAAAAACAAACCATGTTTACTCAAACATGTCTACCGACTAAAACAACATTTATAGATTTATATATAAAAGATAGATAAACCATGTGAATATAAAAATCAACAATGCTTGGTGACAGGCAGTTTTACCTCGTAAGCAATCATCTGAATACAATGATTTCTATGTCACGCTATTTATATCCACAAATAATCTATCCCTTATAATGCACCTGTCACCACCACCAGTTATACCAAAATGTGTGCTTAACCATAGGTTGAAGTGAGTGCAACATTTGCTAAGCAAATTTCAGTTGGTGTAAGCTGCTGCTGTTTTTCCCACCAATCCGTATATTGTTTTTCCCACCAATCCGTATATTGTTTTTAATGCCTGACTGATGTTGAGACTGATCTGGAAGGATGTTTTGCCTACCCATCATCTTAATTCTGTAATTTATAAATTCAGTTGTCAGTGTAATACTATTTTGGCAGGACAGGTCAAAGTTTGGAAGCATGGATTAACTAACACGTGTCATCTATTATTTGCAAAAGAAAGGTGGATAATTTATTTTGGTGTGTTAATGTATCAGGTTCAGTATTTGATTAAAAATCACCAATGTGTAGTCTTCAGCCCAGACAGATTTTCAGTGCTGTTTAGGGTCAATACCATTTGAAAGTTTTGAAATCAGTATACCAGCCATCTTTCTGTATGCAGAAGGTTTGGTAGACTTAAATATATAATATCAAAAGCTTTAATATTAATTATTTATATATTTAATATTATATATATTTTTTGTTTGTATATAACATTTGTCTGGGCTTGTATATTTTTTAGTCACTGTGCACATTTTTTTGACCTTGGTTTTGTTTTGATAAGAGACGACCAATAAACCAGTCCTATTTATTCACTTATTACATTTTGCACTGCTGTGGTCACCACTCTCCTTCATATTATAATTGTGATTCATGGTGGCATTCAGGGTATAATAATGCAATGGCTTGCTGGTTCCTTTTTGCACTGGAGATGTTGAAGTTACCACATCCCTCCTCTCAGACGTTAGAGAGGAAGATTTATTTTCCCACTTACATTTCCCCTATTATGAGCAATAATTTTTTTTTTCATTATTAAATACTTAATTTTGATTGGTCAGGTGGTAGACAGGTATGCATCAAATGAGATATATATACAAACAGATAGGAGTTAAATGGTTGTGAATAGACTAAGTTTTGTGTAGGAAACCTACCACCCCTCTTGAAGATGAACTTGTCTACAAAAAAATAGTGGCATGTCAAAAGACAGAGACAGAGAAGTTCTTGGCTGACTTCCGTCTCGATACAGTCTTTGACTGGTTGCGACGTCTGTCGAACTCTCTGCTTTGCCAGAGAGGAACCTGGAGGAAGCTATGCCGAAGGGCAAGGTTTCGTCCGGGGAGGTAGACAGGGCCTGAACCCGTCTAGGCGGGTTCAAAGGCTATATTTTTAGCTGAGCCTACAGGCTCGGAGATACCCACATTAAACCGGCCTTGTGCCATATTCAGTCCTCGTGGGTGGATCGATAAATACTGAGAAGTTCTTGGCTGAGCTAGTTATAGACTACTCAGGCGATTTCTGTACCTACTTACCAACCTAATAAACCCCTTTTTATTGTTACATGTTATTTGGTGTTTGTCTTTACTAACCCCAAATCAACATCATAACACTAAGACAGATCAGCAAACCCCGGCCAGTGTGCTATATATCTGTCCCGTGAAAGATTTTTGTCTGAACCCACCAGCTTAACACCTGGACACTAATTATGTAATTTATTTGTGGTGAAAGTGGCAGAAAAATATCAGCTGGTGTTAAACAACTTACAATGCAACAAATTTCTGAAATCAAAATTTTATTCCAAATCCCCTGCTGACATCTACAAGAATTGTTTTGCCAAGTGGAATTGAAGTCTATTGAATAATGCAAAAACGATGGCAACATTATTTGAAAGTACATATGCTTGTAAACAACATTTTTGAAAATGAAATATACTAAAAATCATTTAAGAAAAGGTTGGATGATGATTACCTGGATGATGTTTTGCTTCTGCCATTAACAAATATTTCACCTGATGTGGAGATGTTATTGAACAATAAGCAGAGACAAGTGTCCCATTAAATAATTTGACATTTTTTTTCGTTTATAGTAAAGAATTTGCATTTTTTATTGTGTTATCTGTTATCTGATTATTACTGCAGAATAATAACGAACATTGTTTAAATAATATATTAACTTTGTTGTTTTTTTTCTTTAAATCTCCAGACCAAGGCAGCCTTATGGCCATAGCAGTTTGTAGCCAAGATAATTTATTTGATATCATGGCCCTTCTCCGGGACACTGTATAGCTTCATGGTCTGCTCTCTCCAAAAGGTTGTCGGCCGCTGTACTTAGAAATATACAATAGATATTTTAATAGCTAGAGATATGAACACATGATGAGAGATGTGAATAGGCTGAGATAACTAGCTCACTATTATTAAAGAATACTTAGTTATAAAGATATATTTCATGGCAACTGTTCTGATTAGCTTTCCTCTTTGGTACTTTGACTTTATGAATTTAACACTTTGCCTGTCCTGCACATTATATGTAATGCACATGACATGTGATTTCCACGTCCATGCATCATATGTAGTGCACACAAGCCATGATTTTAAAAGAGTGGTAAAATTAATGACGCTTAAGAAAAGAGTCTAATAATGAGCAAAGGCCTAATTTAATATTCTGTGCATCATATATGACCATGGGACATTTGACTGATAATGTAAGGTCTCAAATGAAAGACATTTATTTTTCCACTTTA